TTGTCGACTTTGATTTGTGTCTGTACCACTTCTATTTCTCTCTCTGCTATTCTTTACCTGTGCACATGTAGATCACTTTGGTCAAACGAGCACGTTGACATTCCTTATCTTCACAGTCCTAAATTTCTCAGAGGGAATGTATGTGTGCTGGTACAGTGCAGTGACACATCACTGCAGCTTCACAGTCTCTCTCACTCTTTTACTGGATTTCAGAAGTTTAGTGAATAGCACATTACTATGCTAATGAATTATTTCTAACATTGCACTATTCACATTTGGAATCTTGAATCTTTGCTCTTGCTGAAATGATCTATTCTCTTCTATTCTCTTAATCTCGTTTAACCACCTAAGCAATTCCTGGTATGGTGCAATCACACAGCATATTTAAAGGACTACAGACATCAATAGTCCCTGATTTCCAAGCAAGCATCAAACCTTGCCATGCACCTTCTCAAACACCATTAAGAAAAAAAAGTAAGTGACAAGGAGGTCATAAATATAGCATGTATACCGCCAGCAGTGAAAGCCCCGAAAGGAATCGCACTGCACTTCTCTCCAAAAGGACAAGATTTGTGTTATTGCAGAGAAACTTGGCATTAGCTGTTAGGTATCAGAGATTGCATTTGGTGGTCAGTCAGTAGCTACATTTGCGTGCAAACGTCCATTCTAGTCTGTTTCCTGGTTGATTAGTGCTCAGTGAATTGCTACATTTGGTTCGTTTTTAGTGAGGTTTGTGTGGAGCGTGAGTGGCTGACAAAACTTAACTGCTAGTCTGTGACTGAGCTTCAGACCAGCTACACAGCTTTCATATTTTCAAAGATGTAATGAGACAATGTATACTTATAAAGCGAAGGTGCATTTCAATATACATACTGTACTACCACGATGAAACTGTGCTGTTACAGGCATTTGCAACCAGCATGGTACACTTAGAATAGCATAATAGATGAGCTGCACATTGTTTGGTGCCTGCTATGAAGGAACCATGTGATTAACGCAAGAGAGCAATGTGTGTGTGCCATGGTGCAGCTTCAGAAGAATAGATGAGGTCAGCGCAGATGCTCATTGCTGTATTTTGTCAAGTAAATGAATCTGAAGGCTCTCTTAGTGCATATTACTATACCCCAGTGTGCTGTCACCATTATACATACCCATTTGTTGGTGCTCAAGAGTTCTGGCTGCTGGCACGCTTCCAAATATACTGCGTATGAGGGGATGGATTTACTGCAACATAAATTCCTAATTTGACTCATCTTATTGCATAATGAGTAGTGAAATTGAGGTAGTAGTTATCTTGAGTTCCACATTTAACACGGAGTGCTTTCTAAGGCTGGTAATTCGCAGTACTGCTGTAAAAAAGGACCTCTTTGCAGTGCTTGTACGAATGTACTAGGCATTCTCCATAAGGTTCATTGCACCCGAACCGAAACACGTGACACATTTCCAGTTCGTGGGCAGCATTCAAAAGTCGCTTGTTCCCTACTTGCTTTTCGTAGTTCAGCTCTCTTTCTGCATTACACTAGTTACTGATGCTTCTGATTGAAGAATTGCTAGAAGACGTCTGTTATTTTTTGGCTAAGCACGTTGGCACCACACTAATGTCCTTCTGTCTAAGAATGCTCAAGCGACCGACTACTACGCTCGGATGCCTCAGTGTAACCCACATATACCAAGGTAGGTGGTCCACTTCATGAAGTTCCAGTGCCACCCTCTCGTGGATGTTCTCTTTCTTTTATATTTTTTAATTCGTCAGTCCTGAATTCTTGGTTCTTTTTTCATGGTTTAACATCTCACTAACACCTGGTTTTCGCTATTGCCCGTGATGACCACACGCTGCTTCGCTAACTGTTGCACGAGCACCGGAATGCGTTGCGATATTGGATATCTTTTACTGTGTTGTGTGAAATGGGGGATTTACTTTGTTTTCTTGTTATCTTGGCTCTGTACCATCAATACACGACCACTTCGTTGTATGCAAGGCTAGTTTGGCTGCCTTTGGTGTGTGCTAAGCTTTTGTAGCGCGCAGACGATGTTGGTACGTGGGCTGTTGCCTTCCTATGACCAACCTGCTTGGGCTAATCACTCTTTTGCTATACTGCAATTGCTCTGAAAAGTAGTTATGTGTTGAGGGCATGTCTGTATGGAAAAAAAAATTATTGTTGGTCATCTCTACCTGCTGTTTTTAGCAACTGCATGAAGACCATAGCTGAAGTGCATTGCTCTTGGTTTTATTATTGAAACATTGAGTGTTTATAATATTTTATAAGATTATGAATGCTTGGGGGAGAGGGCGGGGTTGTGTTTTGCTGCAATTTTAGTCGAACAAGAAAACTTAGTGGCCTTTTGGTTTGCCTTCGTTCGGATACCTTTAACACTGTAGATGAGGGATCTCAAACACGCGGCCTGCGGCCCAGATGTAGCCGTCGAGTCAATCGCTTGTGGCCCGTGGCCCTCTTATGACTGTGCATACCCCAAATTTCTTTTATTTTCGTATTAGGAAATTTCTTAATGTTCGTGAGCTACTCAGAAATGACTGGTTCATTGTTATCGTGAGGCACCCAATGTCACCATGTCTTGAAACAAATGCTATTCAGAATCGGCGTCTATATTTTAGTGATGTTGAAGACCAGTATCGACATGTTCAGAAACTACCTGTATATGAGGTATTAAAGGGGACCTGTAACGCCTTTTGAGCATGGTCAGAAAACTACCGATCGGTAGTAGAGGCTCCCGAGAACATGCGAGCCAGATATTATAACACAGCATGCGGCCTTGAATTCACAATAAATGATCAAAGTCGGCTAAAAGTTGCTTTCTCTTTTCTCGACATATGACGGAGGACGCTCAAAAATCGCTCATAGAAATCTATCTATCAGCTGGCTGATTTGAACATGGTGCGCTCGGTGGTTACAGAGGTCGCCGGGAAAGGCCATCACTTATCCACGCGTCTGCGCGTGATTGCACTAAAAAAGCCGCGTATTCAAAGAAAAAAAAAAGAAAAAGTGCTCAAGGTCATGAGGCACGCATGACGCATTTTCTTTGCCCCTGCCATTCCTCCCTGCTTAGCTTCCAGCGCTTTCGTCAGGACGAGAAAAGAGAGAATGCAATTGCAGCATGCGACAAATCTTTGTAACTCTGCTTGCACTGGATGTATTCTTATGATTTTTGTGGCGTTGAATTCATGAAGCAAGAAGCTCTTCTATTGAATTCATATCATAGGTACTTGAAAAAGTGTTTCAAAGCCTTTTTGGAACTTTTTTTTTTTTTTCAAATGGCAACGCTTGCTGACATTTTGCCCCCACTTTACCTTCTTCACTGCCATAACCCTTGCGGGAGTACCTAAATTACGTGAATGTGAGCCGCTGATAGAAGTTAGTTTGAGATACCTGGTCAAGATGGTGGTGTGTCGGTAAACACAAAACTTCCATTAAGCATGCCTAAATTGAGATATCAGATAGTCTCATTCTGTCGAGTTCTTCCATTCTTGAAAGTCCACATCACTTTTTGCTCCGCTAATGATAATAGGCCCCTTGCATTGCTTTCTGACCAACTTGATTGTTTGTTGCACACATACCTCAGTATTGTAAGTATTGTGACGTGTGTTGCTTGCACAGCACTTTCTTGTTGCCAGCTATGAATGTTCTGCATGCAGCAAAGCGACCACTCTGTCTGTTGTAACTATCTACATCTCTGCATTAACCCAGAAGGAGCGTATTCTGTGTGATATGCTTTGGGTACCTAACAAAAATTGGCTGCAGTGTGCAAGACGCAATTTACTTCGGGTGCACTTTGTGGTATGCTTATGCATTATGTGCAGTACTAGGTTATTAAGCTTCGATGTTTTCGAAAATTACTCCCGTTTGTGCAGTGCATTTCTAGTCTCGCAGACCGAAGCATATTTTGCTGACTAAGCAACATAATGTTTTAAACCTCCATTAAAACTCAGTAAAAAAAAATCTACAAAAGGTATGCTAAGATGAACACTGTAAAAAACAATGTTTGTTGCAGCTTGTGTTAAAACTGGTGTAGATCGGGGCGTACAATAGACATCAAATTTTAAACAGTGGGAACCAGAGCATATTATTGATTGACAGTAAAACTAAAGTTTCTCCAAAGTTGAAAATATTCTTGCAGTGTGGCTATGCACTATAGAAACTTCACGCCAACTGTTCTCTTAACCATGTGGACTATTCGCACTCTTCACATAGTTTGTGCAAGCCCTACATTTTAGCCAAACGTTATTATTGTCAGTTGTCGATGTGCAAAAAAAAAATCGTGGGTCAGCTTTTCTGAAAAATTTCCTTCCAACCAAACAATATCATTTACAGACTGCTTGTATTGCTCTTTGTGCTTCTAGTGAAACTATGTCCTTTGAAGACAGGTTCCTTGGTTACAATGTGGAGGCTGAGGAGTAACAATGTAGCATGACTCTCAGAGTAACTTTTGAAAATGATTTATATTCTTCGCATACCTTCAGTTGAATGGTGGAGAGAAGCGCAAAGAGTGAGAAAGCTGATCTGGAAATGAGAGTGTTCTGTTTGGAAAAAGAAAGCTTTCCAGAAATCACAATTACTACCATATTTTGCAAATCGTCAATTGCGTGCCGAGATGACCACATTTTAGGCTCACTCTTAAAGATAACTGGTATATATTAAAAAGATGCAGTCGGTGAGAATAATTCAGCCAGATAGACTAATTGAACAATCTATCAATGCGTTATGTAAAAAAAAAAACACACAATAGGGTATATTTTCTTCATTAGTCATAGTTGAAAGAAGGTACCGCTCTTAAATAATGCGTATTTTTATTTTTTTACGCCTTTAAGTTGCAGTTTGGAATGGTCAAAAAGGTAAACCATCAAAGTTGATTTTCAGATGCTAACAAACCTATAATTTCACTCTACGTTTCCTTTGTTTTTGTCGACCTTATGAATGAATGTAAAGGAGCAGCCTTTTCTAATGCAGCTGCGCATGTTTTTGTGGCATACTCCTACCTTGCAGAATGCCCATATCCCCAGTATGCCACTTGGTCTGGCTGCGTCGACAAATGCCCGGATGGCACCTACCCGTCGCCGCCATCCTCTTCACTGCCGCTAGCCGGTTCCTCCGAGAGAACTACATCGCTCGCGTGTGAGCACTGCCATTATTCATGTCGTGCATGCCGAGGCCCAAGTGATGACCAATGTATGCGCTGTTTCGGTGATGCCGACTTGGTGGACGGCGGATATTGCCAGTCCAAGGTCCTTCTGGCGAGGCTCAACACTGCGGCAGTATGGTACAAGGCCATGACCGTCGCCCTGATGACCCTTTGCGTGGTCATCGTATCCGTGGCCGGCCTTGTGCTGGTGACACAGACCAACTGCTTGACCACTTGTTGCGGTGGTCCTTCCAGCAGCCGAGATGCCACGGGTGGCCGTAGTGCACGCTACTCCGGTTTGCCGATGCACACGAGCACCTTTCCCGAAGATGGCGTCATACAGGCACCGGTGACACCGTACCGCTCCAAAGACAGTAGTACACCGAAGATGCCCAATGTCAAGCCTTACAGAGACGATGACATCTAAGAAGTCTAAGTCTTTTTTTCAGTGCAAGAAGCTGGCTGCTAAGTCACGTGTGGCATGCAAAAAAGGATGCAGTCTTGAAAAGCTGAGAGGTGACATCTACTTGTGTAGTGTGTGAGCAGCCAAATGCCATGTACCAGTCGAGGTACCTCCTAGTAGTGATAGCTGCAGAGGTAGTCTGCTGCTTGAAAAGGCCGTTGCATTAAGACTCTAAGTCACAGTGCCTAGCATTGTGCACCATGTCTGCAGGCTAGCAGACTATTTCAGGACTTGCTCCAAAGTGGCATATGACACGACTAGCTACAACCATCCTTCACCATTGACCGAAGTTCTTTCGTGTGATGTGCGGTGTGGACTCGTAACTGATTGAGCACTGTGCTAGCTCATGGTTACAAGAGACTTAAAAGACCTGCCATGCTGGTGCATTAGTAAACGAATGGACAAGCAGTGATAAAAAGCTGCAAACAGACTTTTTCTGTTGTCAAACAGACTGCGAAAGAAACTGCGATGCCGTGAGTTTAAATGCGGCCTGTGAGCATGGCATGGCGCTGTGATCTCCTGAGCGCATTGCATCTGCTGTTGATTAGTGCAGAGGTGTGTCACTGTGGGTAGTATTGCATAGCTATTAAGCCAAGTGTGAGTGACATCACATGATCCTCACGTTATGAGATGATTTTCAAGACCTCGAAGGTCTTGGCAGATCATTTATGCTGCAAGGCGTTGCTTTGGGCATGCAAACAGAGTTGGCCCATTTAACTTATGTGTCGAAGCGTGTTGTTACATTTGCAGAGGTCGGTCAAAAGGTAACTGTATTGTAGGAACAAACACATATGCACTTGTTTGGCTCTACAAAGCACTGAACACAGTTCCTGTGGTGCGTTCCACTGTTTGCTTTACATAGGTTGAAAAATTGTGTGAAGCATTTACGCTTGTACTTCGAGGACCAACCTTTTTTGGCTTTACATGAACAACACAAAAGTGAACCAATGTTTTATCGTCTTTTACGTTTACTCTAAAATTTGTTTAGCTTGCATTTTATGCTGTCTTTCTATATACTTCTGTTTTCTGTTATACCTACGCCTTTGTTTACACTAGCTTTTCTAGTCTGTTGAGCCGTAGGATTCACTAGAACTTTCAATTAAGTGTCTCTAAAATATCGATCAATCATTCTGAAACATTTTGTGCACATTGTTTAATATACACTCTGCAAATAGGCCATGACCTTGTGCACTTTGGCAGTTGTACTGCAGAGCTGTTTTCTGCAAGAAAAAAAAAATCCCGATTGAATCATTTGCGTTTTGTCTCATCTTTGCAACATGTGACAATTGGCACATTTGCAATTGAGCCACTGTTGCTGAACTTTGTCATGAAAGCTGACAGGTTCCAGTGTTGCATTTTTCAGTTATTCTCAATTGACCGTTTAAACAATAGAGTTGTGCACCTGTACACATACTAGTGCCATTATATTTAAACCACCATTGCATGAAACGCCAGCCTCTTACTTATGCTCACCCTGTACCAGATACTCGTGCTTCTGCATATTGTATGAAAATAACACCACGGCAAACACTTGAACCACAGGTGGCAGTATTTATAGCTTACTTTATTAAATAGAATACAGTGGTTAACTAAATGCATTTAGTTATGGCATGCAACCATGCATGACGTAACTCTGCATGCAGCTTCGCAGTAAATATAGTTCCACTAGACATTCTGGCACAAACCGCAACTATGTGCTGTCTCATTGCAGAGAGGTGAAATTTGAGCCTGTTGCATCCACCCAATTTGGATGACCTGCAGAATATCTTACTAATGGGGCTGAACTTGACGTTCTCTAAGAAAAAATCTCTTCATGTCCATGGATTGAATAATTATGAGTGGGGTGAAGCGAGTGCCAGTCTGTGCGTCCTTCTAGTGAACACTCAAGTCCACCGTATCGCATCTTTTCATCATGTATTCATCATGTACGAGTACCGTAATCCAGTGTACAATCCAAGGACTAAGCGAGATATGGCTACCTACGAGTACTTATACTATTCCTACTACTACTACTACTACTACTACTACATACATAGTCCGAGGATGCACGAACCATGGCTTAAAAAGCTTTGCCCCTAAAAAAAACTCGCTCCAGGAATCGTAACTGGTGAATAATGTTGCTACACAATTAAAGTGTCATTTCTCACTAAGATGTCATCTTAGTATTTGTTAAATAGTACTGGTCAGATAAAGAGAGGCCTACAGAAACAGAGAAGACAAAAAAAATCAGCAGCATAGCCACGAAGTGAATGACGATGAGTGGGGCGAAGCGTCTGCCGGTCTGTGCGTCCGTGTATTCGTCTGTCCATCTAGTAAATACTCGAAGTACCGCCATCTCGCATCTTTTCATCATATATTCATCATATACGAGTACCGTCATCCAGCAGACATTCCAAGGACTAAGCATATTTGTTAACTTTAATAGCTTGTCATACCAGATTATATTCTCCTAGTATATAGTAAGTTTTAAAACAATGTATTTTACAGGTCATCGCTTGCATTCTACAGAAAACCAAATCTTGCTACTATTCAACAGTGCTTCCAGTTCCTCTAAACCAAAAAGGGTATTAGCACATGCCTTGTTGTAATTCTTTAAAAAACATTGTGCCGGTTAGTTGAGTCATGGCAAATATGTTTATTTTTCTCTTTAATATGAAAGGGGACTATTCGAATTCGATTCGAGATTATTTAACCAAAATCACTTTGAACCTAAAATTAATTATTCAGGCTAGATTAATAATAGTATTCAATGTTGCAGACTAATCATAGCACCCATGATAGCATCAGACTACGTGGCTACATAGAGCGAAGTGAGACTTAAATCCAGCTTCAAAGCTGCTCCGCTAGGCTGTGCGACATGCCCACTGTTTAAAACCGCCCGCCCATCTTTAAAAACCGCCAGGCCCGCACAGAACATGCAGCACGATCACAGTTAAAGCTCAAAGAGCGGCAGCTGTAGAGCCTTTTTAAAACGCTGTTTGGGCAACTGCTATAAGCACACTTATAGGGTACCAACTACGCCATGAATCATAGTTTTGTGTATCCATTATGCCATTCTTTGCAGAAGCGTGGTACCAACTACGCACTTGAAAAAAATATGTGCATTTTGTTAATGCTGTGGCTGACTAGGATGAAAAAATCACAGCATATCTACAGAGTGAATGATGATGAGTGAGGCAAAGTGTTCGTCAGTGCGTCCGACCGTGCTCCCGTTGCACGTTCGTTCTTGTTTCCGTACATCTGTCAGTCCGAGCATCTGTCCGTTCATCTCTCTGTCCGTCTGTCCGTCCATGTAGTGACCACTCCACGTACCGCCATCTCGCATCTTTTCATTATATATTCATCATATACAAGAACCCCCATCCAGCGGTTCCAAGGACTAAACAAGAGGTGCCATGGCTACCTACTGCTACTACTACTACATGCATCGGTGACGCACGACCCACGTCTTAAAGAGCTTCGCCCCCAAAATTATGCTCGAGGCTTTTGCAAGGGTTGGAGCATTTCGACTACCCACTCGTTGCACAACTCGCATTGTTTGATGCATGGTTATTCTTTTGCTGTTCTAAAGCTCTTAATTACCCATATTAATGCGATTTCTGCCAAGGGTCAGTTTGCAACAAAGCTTCAAGCACTGGTGCAGCTCAGTGGTAAAATACTTGGCAGCTATGCAGGAGGCCTGGGTTTGAATGCCATTCTATTCGTTTTTTTTTTTTTGTTATTTTTTTTTTTATTTAGCATGAGAGTGGTTATGGGGAGCGGCAGTGGACAACTACGGCACCAAACATGACCGTTGTTGTGATCTTATGACAGCTTTCACTGTAAATGTATAAGTCCTACTTGCAGGGGGTCGGAATCTGCCTACATATTTCATAGTCATCTCATTTTTAGAGTGATATGATCAAACATTCTGACCAGTTTTAGTAACTCTAAGGAGTATCAGCTCTAAAGTGCTTATTGTATGCATGCCAACCCACATATCATGGCACCGCGCATTACTGCCGTACCCAGACGACTTGCTTTGTGTGGAACTAGGCTTGCAGCCTTTCATAACGAATCTCCAGTAGCATTGTGCAGTTAGAACGATTTCTCCAGCAAAAAAAAAAAAATAAACTATGGTGTCACTTCACTTCATTAATGCGAGTTGCGTGCAAACGTATGTGTGTGCAGTTCCCTTTATGAGCACTTTATGTACCATGCTTTAGACATCGTTAGATTACATGTCAGTGCTGCAGTTCCTCGAGAAACCCTCTGCACACCTTTTGCTGGTCTTGTTCAGCTCGTGACCGGTGTTTTGAGTCATCAAGGCTGACCGACTCGTGATGGAACCGGCTCCGTTTGCCTATGTAGCTGCACCCTTTTCCTCTCGGCTACATGCGGTGTGCACACACAGCCCATAGCAATTTCCCAGGACAATCTGGCTACTACAGCGCTAGAGAAAAAAATCATAGCATATCCATGGACTAAATGATGATGAGTGGGGCAAAGTGTTCGTCAGTCCGTCCGCGCTTTCGTCTGTCCGTTCGTTCTTGCTTCCGTCCATCCAGTGAACACTCCGCCATCTCGCATCTTTTCATCATATATTCATTATATAGAAGTATCACCATCCAGCCGACATTCCAAAGACTAAATGAGAGGTGGCTACCTACTACTACGACTACTACATACATCACGGACACACGACCCACGGCATAAGAGCTTCGCCCCTAAAGACTACACACAGGCACATGTTGTGTTTCGTTTTCTGTCTGCCCATGACTGTGTGCCTCTGCCAATCCTCCTCTATGAGAGAGCGTGCCTCCTTCCTTGCTTGGCTACATGCTAGCTCCTCAGTACTTTCCACGACGTGTGCTGCTTTTCACCTCCGACGCACCTATCTCACAGCCTCAGACTTAATCTCACAGATTTCAGACTGGGCCTGTAAACGTGCTTGAAAATCATACTTCTGGAGCACGACATTCATCGATTAGCAATTCGTGTGCATCATTTGCATAGATGTATTAGTATTTTTATTGTTTGTCAAACAAGGTCTGTCCCAAAAGTTACCAGAATTTTTTTGGGCAGTCAGCAGCACCACCTGACAGGGTCACACTCTGGATGCGTAAGTTAGTGGGGGATATAAGCTTCAAAATGAGTCCAGTTTCGGTTGCCTGCGAGTAGTCATTGAGGCTGGTCAAATAATTGTGCAGAAATATCTGCTGCACCCTCATCGAGACAAAAAATGGGCAAGTTTTCAGAGCAGTTTCATGCAATCAAGTTAGTCGGTCAAAGATTCAATAAAGTTGCACTGGTGCTGGTGCAATTCAATGCGCTGGTGCACACCAGGATAGCCCTCAAAACTGCTACACAAATAAACTTCAGCGGATAGCACCCAAGTACAACTTGCAGTCAACCCGACATGACGACTGTATCGTAGGAGTACATCTCTAACGTTTATAAAATCGAGTATCCTGCACTACAACCACAATTGACATTACACGAACATTAGGGTCTATTTGAAAAGTGTATTCGAGGCCTGGCATGGCTCGGTGGTATTCATTGCCATACAGAATGGTACGGTTCGATTGCCTGCCGGGACACTCACATGTTCTCACTGTTCCTGGATAGATATAAAATGTCTATCACCTGTGGCACATACCCGCATACGAGTGGCACATACCCTTCCCCAGAAATGTGCCACTGTTTTTTCGAAAGTGTTTGATGACCTACGCGATAACATTGAGACATTATTGATGTCATGACGAGCGAGTTGTATTTGACAAACCATTTTACCCTCCCGTACTAATTTTGGTGTGCCCTAAAATAAGGGTGTGATTATGAGAGCTCTCAGATGTAGATAGCTATATAGATACGTAGATAGATGCCAAGTGTGCTTGCAGTACGCATTTAATAAAAAACTCCGGTAACATTTGGGACAGACCCTCTATATTCCTAACTTCGTGAACAGTGCTCATGAATAAAAAATACAACAGCACTAATTTTACTTAGAAACTTCCAATATAACTTGAAGATAAAAATTGTCAGTGAGAGCATTATTACTGCTTTACTTAAAAATGCAACGAGTTGCAGCTTTAGTGGGCAACTTTCATCTAGGAAAATTTAATTCATGACTGTTCACTAACAGGAGCAAGTGTCCTCTTGAGTAAATTTCCTGAATTAATGACTTGGAACAAATGTGGACTCAGAAGAATACAGTGGCACATGAAACAGCTTGTGCCTGTGCAGTAGTTGTTTATTAAGCAGTGAATGTTT